AGTGAGTATTTTTGAGAGGAGAAGAAAATACCTCTGAATGTTAATGTTGGAATTCTTGGGAATTTTTATTTTATTCTTTATGCATCTCTGTATTTTCCCAGTTTTCTACGGTAGATATGAATTGCTTGTTAGGGGGAGGGGTACATTACAAGTTACATGGTTCATGGGAAGTTTGGGAAATCAACAAGAATCATTCTAAATTCCCCTTCAGGCCAGACATGGTAGGTCTTGCCTGTAATCTCAGTGCTTTGGGAGACCGAGGCAGGAGGATTGTTTGAGGCCAGGAGTTCTAGATCAGCTTGGGCAACATAGCAAGACCCTGTTTGTCCACAAAAAAAAAAAAAATTAAAAAATTCCCCTTCATGACTTTAACCCAATGCACAGACATGTACACGTGTGTTCCTGGCACCTGCACACAAGTGTGCACACATGCATGCACACACACAGGAAGCCCTGGTACTGCCTGCCTTGCTGTTTGTCCACCCTGGCCCTGGCCCCAGCTCCCTCCTGGAGGACCCTGTGAGGCCCCACTGTGGCTCTGGCCCTCTGCTCATGGCAGCCGGGCCTGGAACCCACCCCAGGCCAGGCTTGGGCTTCCCCAGCTTGGCGGTCAGGTCCCTCCTGGCTGCCTTAGGACTTTGGGAAGCAGCTGCCCATGCAGACAAAGCCAAGCTTTTCCTGGCAAGCACTTGGTGTCTGGGCTGAGACCCAGCATAAAGGCCTATAGGCCAGGACTGGAGGGTCGGGGAGAGGGGGAGCACTGTCGCTCTGTTCCTGGGGGCTTTAGGGACTAGAGAGATGGGTCTGGGCTCTGGCCTAGTACTAGGTCACGGAGCTTGGGTTTCCGGGATAGAGAAACTTTCCTTCATGCAGTGGGGGTTGGGGAGACCCCAGTAGAGAAAGGGAGTGAGGTTGGTGGTTTCGGCCAGGGCGTCCCTTTCTGTCCTGCTCTCAGGCTGCCCTATGGAACCAGGGACTGGAAAAGCTGCTCTCTGGCCAGGGCGTGGCCTCCTTTTGGCTCTTCCAGGGGGCTGGCAGGAGTCAGGTGTTAACTGTCTGTGTACTGGGGCCCAGGGTGATCCATCAGGAGGCTGGAGGGGGAGAGGAGGAGCTTGTATAACAGGAGGGTGAGAGTGAAAAAGGAAAGCTGGAGGAGGCACAACGGGCTTGTTTACTCCTCAACAAATGTGTATGTGACACCTCAGTATCTTCAGATGTTCAGGGCGGAAGAACCCTGATTGCTATACTTCCGGAGCCTGTGTCCTAGGGAGCAGTGGGCTTCCATCAAATAACTACTCAAATGCATGAAAAATTGCAGTTGTTGGGGGTACTGGGAACAGATAGGCTCTTTGGAAAGCAGATGAGGCTCTTGGCCTGGTCATGGAGGTCAGCAAAGGCTTTCTGGGGTTCTGGGTGTGGCTTTGGAGAGGCGGATCCTGGCAGCGGGGCCAGCCAGTGAAGGCAGAGTGCGCCTCCCCAGGCACAGACTGGGTCAGCCTGCCTCTTTGTTTTATGCACATCGGGAGGGGTTAAGTGGTTGGATTTGTGGTTTGGAAAAATCCCCGTGGCTGCTATGTGTGCTCGCGCCTGCGCGCATGTGCACCTATATGTCTTTGCCTACACTCCTCTAGACTCCAGACTCCCCAGCACATTGCCACTTTTCTCAGGTCCAAGGGAATGCAGAGGCGCTGGTGCTGCGGCCATGCTGGGGAAGGAAGCTCTCTGCTCTGAGGGTCCTGCCTCCTGGCTGGGTCCCATCTGGGGATTGGAGAAGGTCTGGGGAGTGATTAATATGGGGCCTGCCCCACAGCCCCAGTCTTGGTTCACAGAGAAAAAGCGGGTGCCATGGTGCCTTGCCCATTCTGGTAGGCTGTCCAGCCAGGCTCTGGCTCTGCCACAGCCCCGTGGCTGATCCAGCCACACCTGCCCATCAGGCTGGGGTCATCAGACCTGCAGAGGGACTGAACGGGTAGCCCTGGGGACTTTGCTCTCCGGGTTCCTCTTGGCAAGCTGAGGAGCCAGCTGAGTAGTGTGGGGTTTTGATCTACCTGGGATTATGTGTGCCTAGAGGGGATTTTCTGTCCTGCCTCCCATTCCCTTTCAGTGGGGGCTGTCCTCCCTCCTGTCCCACCCTGTGAATGCGGGAGGGAACAGGGCAGGGGCTCTGCCCACATGGGTCTGAGGTGCAGAGGGAGCAGACGTGGGCCTGAGCACTGGCCCCTGCCTCGCTGTGCTGTGGGGTGGTGGTGGGCTGAGTAGGGTTGCAGGAGTCTTGGGGAACCAAACTCCCAGGTCCTGGAAAGCCCCCATTTCCCCCAGCTATGCAAATTAAGGTGGACCCACCTTCCAGCAGACCCTTCTCCTCCCCAGTGTCTCAGGGGCTTTTCGGTCCCGAGACTGGCTTTCTGGGTGAAGGCCGAGGATGGATCCAAAATATCCCTACAGCTCACCTGTCACCATCTGGTTTCCAGTACCTGATGGATAAAATCAAGGCCTCATATAAAATTCCCTGTGTATAAAATGAGGACAATTACAAGGCCCATCTCACTGGGAGAGAGGAGAGGACATATAATACCTCAGTGATGATTCTGGTGGGAGACACTGGGGGGCAGACATGGGGTCATCACTGTCCCTTTGTGGTTGTAGTCATCAGCCACAGTGGTCTTTAAGGCAGCAAGTACAAGGGTAACAGGAGAGAGGCAAACCCCTACCGAGCCACCTGGGCCCTGGGGCAAAAGGAAACATCAATAATACTGATACTGTCAACATTTTATTTAAAAGTTTAATAGTTCATTAATCGTGGATTTTTGGCCTTTTTTTTTTTTTTTTTGTGAGATAGAGTCTCACTCTTGTTGCCCAGGCTGGAGTGCAATGGGGTGACCTCGGCTCACTGCAACATCCGTTTCCTGAGTTCAAGAGATTCTCCTGCCTCAGCCTCCTGAGTAGCTGGGATTACAGGCGCCCACCACCACACCCCGCTAATTTGTTTTATTTTTAGTAGAGACGGGGTTTCACCATGTTGGCCAGGTTGGTCTTAAACTCCTGACCTCAGGTGATCCACCTGCCTCGGCCTCCCAATGTGCTGGGATTACGGTTGAGTCACCGCACCTGGCCCTTAATTTTCTTTTTAAAGTATTGCTGCATGGCCGGGCGTGGTGGCTCACGCCTGTAATCCCAGCACTTTGGGAGGCCGAGGCAGGTGGATCACCTGAGGTCGAGAGTTCAAGACCAGCCTGACCAACATGGAGAAACCCCGTCTCTACTAAAAATACAAAAATTAACCAGGCATGCTGGCGCATGCCTGTAATCCCGGCTACTCAAGAGGCTGAGGCAGGAGAATCGCTTGAACCCGGGAGGCGGAGATTGCAGTGAGCTGAGATCGTGCCATTGCACTCCAGCCTAGGTAAAAAGAGCGAAACTCCATCTCAATAAATAAATAAATAAATAAATAAATAAAGTATTGCTGCAAAATATTATTTCTCTTGATTCCTGAGTTTTTGATGCTCCCTCATGTGTTATACCTGAGGCAGGTGCCTTGTGCCTTGGGCCGGTCCTGGCTCTGGTCTTTCATAATGATAGAATGAGACTGATAGAGACCCTGCACCCAGGCCAGCCCCGGGCTCAGGGCTCTAAGGCAGCTGCTGGCCTCAGACCTGAGATTATGGGATGATGGCTGAGGTGGGAACCCAGGGCTGGTGATACAGGTGGGAGTTTCAAGATGGGTCATCCACCAGGTGGGTCCCGTCCAGGCCCCCACTAATGGCCAGCCTTGTGGACTGACACAGGGCCACCCCCACCTCCAAAGGGAACCTGCACCTTTGCCCAGATGGCAGGCACTTGCCCAGTCTTCGCCAGCTTTGTGGGATGGTGGATCTTGGCTGGGACTCCACCTGGGGACATGAGCTCAGCCCTGGTAGATGGGAGAGAGGCAGGGAATCCCTGGGCTTGGGATCCTTTTTTGTAACCCCTCATTCATTTTTTCCTTTATGGGGGGACAGAAGGAGGGGGTCTTGCCCTGTCACCCAGGCTGGAGTGCCGTGTCATGAACACAGTTCACTGCAGCCTTGACTTCCCTAGGGTCAAGTGATCCTCTCTCCTCAGCTTCCCCAGTAGCTGGGACTACAGGCGTGCACCACCACATTGGCTAATTTTTAAAATTTTTTGTAGAGTCGAGGTCTCATTGTGTTACCCAGGCTGGTCTCAAACTCCTGGGCTCAAGTGATCCTCCTGCCTGGGCCTCACAAAGTGTTGGGATTACAGGCATGAGCCACCATGCCTGACCTTCATTTTCCTTTCTAGTCCTGCATTTGCAGTTTGGTTCATGAGCTCATTCATTCCCCCAGCTGCTTAGCACCCAGTGCTATAGAGCTGCTGGGGATACAGAGCTGTCTCCAACCAGCCCTGCCCTCAGGGAGCTCTCAGTCTAACCAGATAAACTAACACAGCAGTTAGACCCAGTGGGAATGACTAAGAAGAGCCGGACAGTGGTTACAGCAGAATGGGGGCACCTGAGTTTGCCTGAGGGGGTCAGAGAAGGCTCCTGTGCCAGGTGGCCCCGTTGTTCAGACCTGGGGATGAGTTGGGCTTTGATGTTCAAGTCCACGGAGGGTCTTCCTTAGAGCTTTTCTTTTTTGGGAAGCTCCTAGGCCCTGAACTGGGTGGAGTGGGGGGGATGAGCTGTGAAAAGGGCCAGGAGATGCGGCAGGAAGGGTGCCCCTGGCAGGAGGCTGCACCAGGAGGCTCGGCTGAATCACACATGGTGGAGCGGGGCAAGATGGGAGGTCGGAGGGATTCCCTGCCCAGGGTCCTGGTGTCTGGCTTGCTGCGGTGTGGGACCTGAGGCCATCTGGACATCCCTGGGCTGGAGAAGGGTGGAGGTGGTACCCTCTGTGGCCTCCTGCCCTGCCCACTCTGACTTGGGTTGCAGGGACAGCTGGCGGGGGAGGGCTCTCACCCCATCTTGGCTTGGCTCCCCATTAACGGCTCCATTCTCCTTCCAGATCCTGGGTGCAGTGATTCTGGGCTTCGGGGTGTGGATCCTGGCCGACAAGAGCAGTTTCATCTCTGTCCTGCGTAAGAACCCCTCAGCTTCCCCAGACCCAGGCCCACTGGAGAAGGGAGGGCCAGGGCGCAGGCACAGCTGTTCCCATCAGTGCTTCGGCTTCAATGCCTGTTGCTTTTCCCGCTGACCTCAGGGATGTAGCCAGGTCCTGCTGCCGACCACTGCCCATGGCTCTTCTCTGTAAGGGTTTCCAAAAGGAATTTTCTCTTCTTCCCCAAACAAAGCTGCTGTTGTCTGGGAGAATCACTGGAGATGAGGGAGGCTTGTTTTCTCTTCCTGGCCCCTTTCCTTGGCCCTGACCTTAGGAAAGCCTCTTACATTCTCTGTTCCTTCACTTGCCCATCCAGCAGAATGTAGACAACAGTCCCTCCCATTTCACAGAGATGTAAGAAAGATAGTCGGGGGCTGATGAAGCGCCTGCTGTGAGTGGTGCTTCGCTATGAGCCCGGCAGCAGCTTGGTGGGTCAGGTGTGTGCACGGATGAGGAAGGTTCCAGGCACAGTCACCAATTATCATGCTCCTCATGTGCCAAGCAGTTTGTACCGATAAACTGTCTTAATCCCACCACAGCCCTGTGAGGTAGATACGTTTCTATTCCCGCCTTACCAATGAAGAAACAGAGGCTCAGAGAGGTTAAGTCCCTTGCTGAAGTTCACACAGCTTCTAAATGGTGGGTGTGGGACTCGAACTCCAAGAGCTTTGGTCCTAAATGCAGCACAGGGCAGGGTGAGCCACAGTGTGGAAACCCCTTCTCTCACTCTTTAGAGGCAGAAGAAAAGAGGCCCAAGGCATTTCTGCAGGAATAAGAGCCCTTCCGTGCCTGCTCGGCCTCCTCCAGGAAGCCGTCAGGGCCTGCTGCGCTGACCTCTCAGGGGCTCCCTGTGGTGGAAGGGAGGTACAGCAGAAGCCCCCGGGGGACAGCCGTGCCACTCCCCTCGTTGAGTGCGGCCTTGGCTCACTTCTCCCAGCAGCTGCCCAAGGCAGCTGGTTTGGAATGTGGCCTGTGACAGCTGCTTGATTTACATAAAGCGGAACCTGCCTAGGATGTGATGATGGAGAGGCCACATCTGTCCCCCCGGCCCCAGGGGCTAGGCCTCCTCTCCAGGAGATGGAAAGCAAGGATGATCCACACTCTAGCCACATCTGATGCACCCCGGGGCTCTCAGTCTTACCCCCTTTCACCCTCCATTCTGGGGTTAAGGTGGGTGGGCGACCCATGCCCCCCACACTCTCCTGGCCTGTGTGACACACCCTCCTTGGCCCCATGAGGCCAGCTCTCTACTTCCTGAGTCATGGCCCAACCCAGCAGGCTCTGCACCCCAGGGCAAAGTCTAGAGGCCCAGCCTGCCCACCCACATTTCTGCCCTCTGCGCCCTGCCCCATGGCTGGTGCAGTGGGGGTGAGCTTGCTGGGTGGGGAGAGCTTCCTGCTGCGGCTCTGGCCTCCTCCCTGTTCGGGTCTGACAATCTCAAGCTGGCCAGATCTTAAAGGTCTACTGTCTGCAGTAGAGGGTGCATTTTACAAATGCTTCAGCCCAAGCCCCACCCGCCCCGAGGGACCTGACGGTCGGTGTGCGTGGGAGCCTGAGCGCTGGTGTTCTCTAAAAAGTTCCCCAGGTGGATTCCCCAGGCAGCCAGGGTTCAGAAACACTGATCCTCTAGCCCGGTCACTAGGCACTTGTGTAAACTGAGGCCAGAGGTGGGGAAAATGACTTGCTAAGAGTCACGGAGCAGCTGAGGGGCAGAACTGGGGATAGCTCTTTCCCTGCCGAGTTGAATCCCTGCTCTGAGTTCATGGGGCTGGGCGTTCCTATCCTCATTTTACAGAGGAAGAAACTGAAGCACAGAGAGGCATCGTAACTTGCACACAGCAAGCAGGTAGGGGAGCTGGCTGCAGATGAGGTAGCCTAGCTTCCGGGCCCGTGCCTTGAACCCCTGGACCACATGGCTCTGCAGCCACATGCCACTGGTTAGTACCTTAGTAAGAGGAAGCACTCTGCAGTGAAGAGCAGACTCGAGCCTGACTGCTGGGGTTCGATTCGCGGCTGTGCTGTCCACTAGCTGTGTGACCCTCAGCACATTGCTTCACCTCTCTGTGCCTCCTCACCTATAAAATGAGGATCGTAGTAGAGTGCACTTTCTGTGGTTATTGTGAGAAATTAAATGAGCCTCTCGTTTTTATCTGAAAAGAGTTTAGGACAGCCCCCAGTGAAAACCCCTACATACGCGATGGTGAGCTAAATTTTATAATACAATTTAATCCTTTTGCCATCTTCAAGGAGCAGGCTTTAGACCCATTTGACAGAGAAAGAAATAGAAAATGGCTTGCCCAGGGTCAGAGCGTGTTGGCGCAGAGCTGGGATTGGAATCTACTTTTCTTGATCCCTCGTCCCTTTCTGTTTGGGCCACCTCCTTTCTACCTTCCTGGTCCCTTCTAGGCCCAGGAAGACTAAAAGGTGTTTTGTTTTGTTTTGTTTTTGCCATGCCCTGTGGATGGCCTACCCCGGAACATACCGTCACCTACTTCCTAAGTCAGCTTGCTCAGATGTGGGGTAGGCCTGGGATCCTGGGGGGACAGGGAAAGGCATCAATGAAATGTTCTGAGATACGGAGACCTCGCAGTTCGTCTGGTCTCCCGGGGGAAGGATCTGAGTTGGGGTCTCAGCCCTGGGCCTTGCCTGCCAGGCAGCTTACAGCCTGCTAGCCTCTCTGAGCCTCGGGGTCCTTGCAGACAAATCAGGATGTGAGTACAGCCGCAGAGGGCGGTTGGTGAAATTAGGCAGGATGCTTTGGATAAAGGGCCTTGTTTGGGGCTGGCACACGGCAGCTGTCTGGGCAGTGCCAATTTCTTTTTTCTGGGAGTAGTCACTGGGAGAAATTGTTGGAAGCCAAACCCAGGAAGTTTAGGAAAAGTGGAATTGACAGCCTCTCCCTGCGCACGCTGGTAGCTGGGGCTCAGTGCCAGGAGGTCCCCACACTCACCCTGAGGAAGGTGGGGGGCTCCTGTGAGGAACTGGGTGGAGGAAGCCTGAGAGTAGGGAGGGTTGGCCAGAGCTCTTCCTGAGCTCCAGAACATTCTGTCTGTAATCAGGAAGTGGAGCTGAATCCCACAGACTCCCTCCCATCCTCCAGCTTGATTGTTATTCCTTAAGGGCAATAACGCCCGTTGGGGACCAAGGTGGGGACCTCGGCTTCTCCAGGATCCCCAGGGAGCCATGGCCAGCCCCAGGCCTGTATTCTCCCTGCTGATGGTCAAGGGGTTGGTCCTGGCTGTGCCTCAGTGCTTAGGGGCGCAGGTGAAAAATGCAGGTCCTTGGCCTTCTGCTGGGAGCATCTTGGTCGGGTTGTAACGGACGCAAGCATCTGCATCCCTAAGAGGCTCCTCTGATCCACACTGCTCTCCAGCCTTCTGGAGATGCCAGCATCTTCACCCTCCAGGTGTGTCCTCTGCTGGGGGTACAGCGTACCCATGCTGGTGAGCTAGAGATGACATGAGCTTTACCCTGTGTGATGGGTTGGGTGTCTTAGGAAATGTTGGCCAAGTGCCCCTGCTGGATTCCTGACCTCCACCTCCCAGAATGGGCCTGTCCACAGGTGACTCTAAAGAAGGTCTTAGCCATCAGACCCATCCCTGCACCTCCTAAGCGTCATTTCCTCCCGGGCTCCTTTCTTGCTCTCACTGGTCCATTCTCTCGCCTTCTTTCCAATCTTCAAATACACCCAGCTCCTCCTTCCTCAGGCCTTCGCACCTGCTGTGCCCCCTTCCTGGAATGCTTTTCCCACAGATCTTTGCTTGGCTGACTTCCTCATTCACGTCTTGGCTCAAATGTCACTGGCTCAGGCTGGCCTTCCTCGACCCATTCCGACCCTCTCCCCGACGGGCAGTTCTCTGCAGTGAGTCAGCTTTGGTATCTTCATGGCGACCAACACAACCAGAAAACCTGTATTGTGTACTTTTTGTCTCCACTCCCCACCCCCAAATGTCAGACCTTGTTAGTCACTCTTCTGCATCCCCAGCAACTGGCACGGTGCCTGGCATGAAGTGGGCACCCAGTAAACATTTGTTGGCTGAATGAACATGCATCACACCTGTAGCAATACATGTGCCCCGTGCATCAGCAGAAAGGGTGTGGCATTGGAGGTTTGCATATTTTCAAATTCCAGCTCAGGCCCTTGCCTGTGCGCCTTTCTGAGCCTCAGTTTTCTCATCTGTGAAAGGGCCCTGCTAGTGCCTGCCAGGCAGGCTGATGTCAGAATTGGAGACGGCGTGTAGAAAACCCCTAAGGCGCAGTGAGTGGGCAAGAAAGGCTGGTGTTTGTTATTATATGGACAAGAAGGAAGGCGGGTTAAAAGTCAGCTTGCAATCTTAACGTCCGTGGCCCCTGGAGAAGCAGTCAGCCCTTTGTCTGTCAATTCCGCAGATCCTCACTGTGCCCAGCACCTCACTGCCAGAGGCGCTGTTCGAGCTGAGAGTTTCCTGGGAATACAGCAAAGCTTCTGCCCTCATGCACCTCAGGTCCTTGGTGGAGGGGGAGAGCAGACAATGAGCAAGAAGAATCAGTGAAATGTAGTCTGTTCAATCCTGAGAAGCGTTACGAAGAAAATAATAAAGCCGGGAAGGGGCTTAGGCTGGATGAGGGTGCGGATTGCAAATTTACTGGGGGAGGGACACAGGTGGGAATGGGGGTGAGCTGGTTCCCTGTTGGGCAGTGAGAAGCCAGCAGGGGAATGCAGCTGACCCCAACACCCTGGCTCCAAAGTGGGGATCGGGCAGCAGACCTGGGCGGTTAGGCCAGGTGTTCATACCTGCTGGGCCCACTGACTTTGTACTTAGTGAGTGTGCTTCTTCTTCCCCCTAGAAACCTCCTCCAGCTCGCTCAGGATGGGGGCCTACGTCTTCATCGGCGTGGGGGCAGTCACCATGCTCATGGGCTTCCTGGGCTGCATTGGTGCCGTCAATGAGGTCCGCTGTCTGCTGGGGCTGGTGAGTACGGATCCCTCCGCAGCTGAGGCCCATTTCCTCTCATCCAGCCGAGTGCAGCCTGAGCACGTCGCTGGCCGTAACGCCGGGTGGAGAGCGTCTCCCGAGGCATGCGGGCTGGGTGCACCTGGTCGGGGACCCACAGCTGACTTTGTGCCTGCTCTGTGTCCCCAGTACTTTGCCTTCCTGCTCCTGATCCTCATTGCCCAGGTGACGGCCGGGGCCCTCTTCTACTTCAACATGGGCAAGGTAAGCCCCTCTCTCCCTTCCCCCTCACTGGGCTGGACCAGCCATGTGGGGGGTTGACCTTGAGTGTGGGGGATGGACATGGAGCCCCCCAGTTGTCACAGACAGACCCAGTAGGTGTCAGGGACGGCCTTCTGGACACTATTCTTTGGGATCAAATGGGGGAGTGTTAGAGGAGAAGGCAGCAGGTGTGGGCAGTGCCTGCCGGGCCTGGATCTCAGCCTGACCACACTGCTTTCTAGCTGTGTGGCCTTGGGCAAGCTGCTTGCGTCTATGTGTCTGTTCCACCATCTGTAAAATGGAAACAGTAAGAAAACTGAACTCTCTGAGTGGTTACAAAGATTATTCGAGATTATCTGAGTGAAACACATAACACATGGCACCATAAGTACTCAATAAATGTCATTCTTGTTATTATGAAGATACTTTAGCAACTATTCAATCCATGCCACTCACCCACAAATGAGGTTTAGAAGGAGACCGTTAATAAAAACATCAGTCTTGTGTCTGAGGGGAGATGTTCAGCTTTCAGAAACAGAATATCAGACTTACGGCGGCTTAAACTTGAAGGACATCTGTGGTTGACTTGCCCGGAAGTCTGGTTTCGAAGCTCAGAGGCCGTGGTTCTGGCTGTTCAGCATCCTCGCTGGGATGGCTTTCCTGCGTTATGACACTTACCTCGTTGTTCCAAGATGGCTGCCACAGCACCAGGCACGGCGTCTGTGCTGCTGTGGCTGGAAGATGGGGAAGTGGGCAGTGCCAGACATTGCCATCCCTTTTATCAGAAAAGCAAGCCCTGCTTGGGCGCAATGGCTCATGACTGTAATCCCAGCACTTAGGGAGGCAGAGGTGGGAGGATTGCTTTGAGACTAGCCTGGGCAACATGGTGAGACCCCATCTCTACAAATCTTTTAAAATGCTAGGCATCGTGGTGTGCACATGTGGTCCCAGCTACTCAGGAGGCTGAGGCAGGAGGATCCTTGAGGCCAGGAGGTTGAGGCTACAGTGAGCCATGAAACAGAGCCTGGGGCAACAGAGTGAGACCCTGTCTCAAAAACAAAACCCTCCAACAGACTTCCCCAGACTGGGTTACAAAGTCACCCTTGGTTGCAGAGGAGGCTGAGAATGTGTCAAACTTTCAGACTCTAAAGACAGAGGCACAAGAGAGAAAGGAGCCAAGAATGGCTGTTGGGTGAGCCAGTTAATTGTGAGTCACGGTTATTGTGTAAGAAGCACCTACTGTGTGCATGTGGCATCTTCTAGAAGCTTTCCATACATCATCTTGTCCTCACAATGGCTCTGCAGGGTTTTATGTTGACAGATGGAGAAGCAGATGCTCTGAGATGAAGAGCAATAACAACATTGATAACAGTGGCTCTAACCCCCACCATCCCTCCAGTTGAGTTCATGCACAGCATATACCAAGTACAGTGTTGACCACGTCACGTGACACTCCTCTCGCTGATCCCCACTAGACCCTCTCAAGGTTGTGGGAGAATCTCCGTCCTGCAGATGAAGGAGTAAGGTCAGCCTAGGCTCCCTGACTCCGATTCGAGTTCACTTGTCCCCAGACCCTGCTGCACGTGGCCTGTGGCCTAGCAGACCCTTGGGGTCCCTGCTTCCAGTGCCACCAGTTCTTGTCCACCAGTGAGGGTGGCAGAGCCGGCAGCCAGTTGGGCTCCTGCACGTCACCACTTGAAGGTCAAGTTGCCTGAGATCCCTCTTGGAAGGTAACTGAGAAAACACTATACCAACATCAACATCAGCAACGAACACTTAATAGAACTTAGAACTTAATAGAACTTCAACAAGACAAGATACTCTTGGTAACTAAGGGCTAACTTGGGCACTGAGCTTCCTGGCAGTCAAGGCAAAAGTGGAAAATAGTGGATTTTGTAGATGAAAAGCAGCTTGTTTGGCTATGAGACAGGAAGCCAGCAGTTAAGGGAGGGAAATTCCTTTCCCAGAAAAATGGTTGTGGGGTCAGGTCTTCATTTTTGCCCTATGGCACTGGAACTTCTTTAGTACCCAGTTAGTGATATAAACAGGGTGGATTAGAATCAGGCCTCAGTGAGCCAGCTTCTATGACTCAGAAGCTGGTCGCCTCTACAGGGATCTCGTGCAGTCTGTGTGATTCACCATCTCTCAGTAATAAAGATGGCACCCACCGGGTTGGCACCAACCACATGCCAGGAGCTGAGCTAGAAAAGTGAGCTGACATACACGTTTCAAATTTACAAACATTTTCCATTTGAAGAAACTGAGACCCAGGAAAGCAAAGTGACTTTCGGCCACTGACACACGCAGCTTTGGTGCATCAGAGTGGGGATTTCCATCCTGCTCCCTCGGAGTCCGAGGCCCATGCCTCCCTGTACACCGTGCTGCCCTCCTGTGGGCTGTTAACTCTGCTTGGCTGATGATGATGAGCTTAGACTCACAGGTGTCCTGTCAGTCCCAGAACAGGACTTGTTTGGAGATTTGGGTTTCCCAACCCCATCCAGGCTCTGTGCATTGCACGACCGCCCCCATCTTCCCCTCCAGAGTCCACACCCCCTAGTCGCAGCCTGCCTCACCTTCGTCCACCACCACCTTTTCTGGAAGGCAGGGGGACATTTTCTGGCTTTGCTGAAGAAGTTCTGATGCCACTGTATTGCCCAAGTTGGAATGAACGATTTCTTTCTTCTTTCCCAACGCGTCGTAAATCTCAGTGGAAGACTAAACATACTTTTGATGGTGTTTATTCTGGCAGACAAGGCTCGGCATGGGGGTGGGACTTGTCTGAACCTAAGGAAGAAAGGCCTTTTGAAAGGAGATAGGGCTCCTGTGCAGGTGGGTGGGAGCGACCCTGCTGTGGTCTCCAGGGCTGCCCTTTGTCCTTCCTGCCCCTGCCACCCGCAGCCACTGTTCTCAGGGCAGCGATGGGGAGGTGGGGGACCTTGGCATGGCATGTCACCTCTGGAGCCTTGGGTTCTGCTTCTATAAATCGAGAATAAACCTGTCTCTCCCTGCCCTAGCACCCAGGCTGGAGTGAACACAGACTGTGATACTTCTATGAACATGCAGAGTGGTGTCCAAGGGTCTCGACTATGGAACCACTGCTCTGACATTCTGGGCATGCTACTCAGCCTCCCTGTGCCTCAGTTTCCTCATTCGTCAAACTAGTAACAATATAGGCCCGCTCACTGTCCCTTCTCTACAATTCTGAAATCCAGAAAAGCACTTTGAAAACCAAAAGTAGGCTGGGCGCGGTGGCTCACACCTGTAATCCCAGCACTTTGGGAGACCGAGGCGGGCGGATCACGAGGTCAGGAGATCGAGACCATCCTGGCTAACACGGTGAAACCCCGTCTCTACTAAAAATACAAAAAATTAGCCGGACACGGTGGTGGGCACCTGTAGTCCCAGCTACTCAGGAGGCTGAGGCAGGAGAATGGCGTGAACCCGGGAGGCGGAGCTTGCAGTGAGCCGAGATTGCGCCACTGCACTCCAGCCTGGGAGACAGAGCAAGACTCCGTCTCAAAAAAAAAAGAGAAAAGAAAAGAAAAAAGAAAACCAAAAGTAGCATTTGCAACTCATTTGATGGCAAAATTGAACCTGAACAGAAGCAAGGCTGTGTATGGGCTTTGCCTGCCCCATTAGGGCATCCCTGGGGAAATAGAAATGGGAGTCATTGCAGGCTGCTACCCCAGCCCCCACTGGCGGGTGTGATCTGTCCCCCCAGGCCCTTTCTAAAACCTGATCCTGTCTGGAGCCGGAGCCCCCAGGGGCTGCCTCGCAGCACTTGAGAGATGAAGAGCCCTAACATATGAGAAGGGTGTCGTGCGGCGCCCAGCCAGAGGCCGATGTTGCTGGCATCGTTGCCAGTGTTTATTATTATTGCTGCCATTATTCACTTCATGAGGGCCTGGTAAGGGCTCAATAGGTGGCAGCTGTTCCTGCTGCCCTCGTTGTCAGCAGAGCAAGGGCTGTGGGAACCAGGATTTGGGCGTGGCACTAAGATCCTCATCTGCTTGTTTATCCAGCCTCTGGTGAGCAGAGCCCAGCTCTGGGATTCAGGGGCCCTGTGTTTTAGTGTGGACTCTGCCGCTGATTGCTGTGTGGCTTCGGAAAAGTTACCCAGCCCCTCTGATCCACAGGCGAGCTCTTGGGCCATGCCCAGTGCAGGCAATCAGGGATTCTGACTTGTTCTCTCTAGACAGTGGGGGTGGGAGGGGTGAGAAGGAAGCAGATGCAGTTTGCCCTTCCCTGTGGTGTGAAGGAGCTGAGCTGGATGCACTTGGCTGGCCATACCTGTGCCAGGGAGGCCCCTGAGGCTCTGAGAGCTATCAGGCTTAAGGAGAAGACATTGGAGGGGAAGGGGCTCACTTGGCCTGGCTGGGAGCCAGAGGTGGGGGCTGTGACAGTGGCAGTGGCTGGTCAGACAGCTCCCCAGAGATGTTGGTCAGAGGAACTGTGATTTCCTTCTCGTCCTCCTCGCTCTCACCCTGAAAGCCCCAAATTGCTGGTGCGCATATACTCTCATGTGTGAGACGCAGGTGGCGAGACAGGTTCCTAGGGGACAGTGTGGTTCTCTGTGAGCTGTCTGCTTGCTGAATTAGAACTTCCTGATTCTCAGGCTTGGGGTTCTCTTGTGATGGGGCAGAGGGAGGAAGGGCAGCTGGAGCTGGGGACAGGGAGAGGTGACCTTTCTCTTCCCTGTTGAGAAGGGAATGGAGAAGTCCAGGCCGCTCCTCTGGAAAAGGATTATGGAAAGACACTTGGGCTAGAATCTCTGAAGCACACACTGGTCACTGGCTCCGAATTCTGGGGTAGCTAGTTATGGGGCTTGCAGCTGGACTTGCAGGAAAGATACAGGTGGTCACAAAGACTAAATGCTCCCACCACCCCCTTTATGGCCAAGAGCCCTCATTTCCTATCAGGGTACTGGGATGCAGCCTCTGAGCTGGTGTATCTGTATTCTAGCAAAGCATTTGCCAGCATCTCCTGTGGGAAACCTGGAGAGG